TCGTGTACGTGAAACAATAAACTGTTTTATTATTATATAGTGGTTTATTTCACTGCCCGGTGAAACTACATCCTCAATAACCGCTAAAAGTCTCTGCACGGTATTTAAATATTTATTATTTTTTTCAAACAACGATATCTTAAACAATTCAACACTTAAAAGTATAAAGTTCATACTAATTCTTATAAAATGTAATTAACTTAAAGCACTTTTCCACTTTGGCCACTAAAGTCCAATATTCCGATGCTTTGAATCTTCAAAACTGTTCTTGTGAACTTTCTTTAAGAAAGGAAGGTTCAACCATTAAGGAACCGTAAAGCGCATGGGAAATCAACATTATTATCCTAACAAAAATATTTATTTCATGCCAGACCCATTCCCAAAGTTTAAATTAAATAACAGTCTTTCTAAGAAGCCAAAAAAATACGTTAAAATCCAGTTTCCACATACAATACTATTCTTTGTTTAGTTTTTTTTACTCACCTTGATTCCTGTCTAACGAAGTAATTTTATCGTGTACTAGCTGTTGCTCGCGACTTCGTCCGCGTGGTATAAGAAATATAATCTATTACGTTCTCCCTTTTTTTCAACCTATTACCAAAAGTATTAACTTAGTAGTAATCTACGTAATAACAGAAATCTACCGATGCAAGATTCCAAATTTCTAAGCCCGGTAACTCGTAAGCTGATTTTTCGATTACCCTTATTGTTTGTGTTCGCGATATCTTCTAAACTATTAGTCCAATTTAAATACTGCAAAGAACAATTTTATTCTACAATAAATTCTCCTGATAACAGATGCATTTATTTGGATAAGGATTAATATAGAAACCAATAAAAGAACGCTGCAAGTAGAGTAATGTTTTAAATTCATTTTGTAAACAAAAAAGTGGTTATTGTAAGAGAACCGTTGAAGATAGATATATGCTTTCGCGGACTTTTCTATAGAACTTTTTGAGATCTACAATTCTTTGATACATCATATTTATATACCTCTAACGGTTTAGGCAGCGTTAGCCGAGAAAAGTTACAGTTTAGTGAATTTTTAACGCCGCCGTCCAGAAACACGCTGATTATTAATAGTTCCTAAAGATTAGTAATAATAAAATATAGCCTATGTTACTCACAGATAAATTACCTTTCTGATGGTGAAAGAATTTTTAAAATCGGTCCAGTGGTTTTTGAGTTATTTCAAAACGTACAAAAATACAAAAATACAAAGTTTTCCTCTTTATAATATAGGTATAGAAGCATAGATATAGATATAGATATAGATTTACATTGCCAAAAGCTGTATTACCTTGTTCCACGCAATGTTCTGACACCGTTGTACCATAATCCATCGGGTTTTAGGGATCCGGTGCTTGTTTACTTCTCTAATCTCCTTTGATTGAAGGAGATTTAACCGCGTGTCAGCCGCGGTATGGATTATGGAGTGTTGAGGTTTGACACGTTTCTTGTGTTATTCGCAAGTTTCTAACATACATACTAATTGATCATACACAATGCGGTGGTATAATTTATTAATCTTTACTTTTCTATTTTCTTTAAGTTCCAAAATGTGATAGTTATAGCCAGACAAAAAAGTACACCTAACATAGGCCTACACGAAAGCCCCGAGCAAGATTACTACGCGGCCCCTTTTTATAATATGTCTTTGGGAGGGTTAGCAGAGTTACGTGAAACTTTCGCAAATTTTCGCGAATTTCGCAAAGATGTGGTGCCCCTTTTTTGTCTAGTGCCATGAGCGATCGCCCAACAGGGTGCCTCAATGGCTTCCTTGATGACATCACATTTTGTAAGTACGAGAAGTTAGTTCTTTACATTTCTGCTCACAGTATACCGATATTATTTAGTGACGTTTGTCACTTTTCACTCATAAATAAATTTCACTTTCGAAAATATTTAACAAACATTTTCGAAAGTGCAAAGGAAAAAGCTGTGACGCCTTGTCTGTGAGGCAAGGCTGTTCGATGGACATTTCCATTACCTCTGCCGTCCATTGTCCGCTCTCTGCTCCATGCAGTTTTGTTGTCCACTGAAACAGCTACGTTGGCATTGTCTTGCAACCTACTTCACTGCCTCCGATATATTGTTTCATTTTTCATAGAATTTCTTTTGTTTTTATCGGCTGTTACACTTATTGTAGCTAAACAAGGACAATAGCTATTAATCATTATTACATTTCTATATTATTACGTAATCTATTAACAAATTTGCTGCGACAAATAGCCGTTTTTAAAGAACCGTTTATTTGAAAAAAAATCTGCTTCAAAAATAGACAATGGATTAATGGTGAGGTAGTCAGCGCAGCTATTACTTAAGTCTCAGGTAATAAATGACTACACGTCGAACTTGCTCCACACTGCAGACACGATGACAGCCGATTGACGAGGCATTTGCTTTTTGAAGTATAACTATAAATTAATTATTAGGTTTCTTTAGAGGAAGACGGAAGTGATATTTCTAGTGCAACAAACTTTATTTCCAAAGAAGCAATTATTTAATTTGCGTTGTTACTAATATGACTATTATATTGAACGTTGGATTGCATTCCTTGTTGCAGCGCGCCATGCCAGCATAGCTAGCTCGCATATAGACAGCACACTGCAGCCGAAAAATACACTAAAAAGTCCTCCGAGTTGCGCTAAAAATCATACAGAGTATATAAAAAAAAGAATTACGAATGTTAGTTACCATGAAATTCTCATATAGACTGATTTGTATAATTTATCACTGTAAAAAATTATATTAATAAATAAGCGATGGCAAAGATAACGTCACATATTTTTCTGTCACATCCATACTCTTCTTGTACCTAGATTTAAAATAAATTACTCTGTGATTTCTAATAGCGAAAGAATTTTAGAAGTAGTTTTTAGTAGTTTCCGAGCAAAAAATAAATCATTCCACTTTACAAAACTAATAAAAAACGGCTACTCTTAGCACAACGAACGCAATCTCAAATACTTACCAAATAGTTCGAATTTTGCGAAGTAAGGTTTTCTTAGCAACACCTTGTTGGCGTGTTTTACAAACACTCTGATTATGCTTACTTTGTTGAAATCCAAGTCATCGCTATGAAAAGAAATAACTATTCGTTACAGCATAAATCCTGCCATTCAAACTTTAAAATAAAACCTTCTTACTTACTAAAAATCATCATAAGGAGAGATGTTTGAATTCAAGTCGTATGAGGAGATCGTGAAATAGTCCATAGCATCTGCATCACATGTTACGGGACAATTTGAGTGGAATTTACCGAAGGAAACTAAAAAAAAAAAAACCTTTATTTGTTACGTCGTACACCTGTACGAAATGTATAACATTTTCTAAGGTTTTTCTGATGATAAACTTAATATTACGTAAAAACATTACCAGAAGCAAGCTTGGCGCACTGCAGACTGCGCGCGCGACACACCGGCACCCCGGGCACGCGCAGATGTCCCAGCTTCAAGCACCCGCAGAGCTCCATCGTTTTCTTCATCTCGATTTCCATGAGGCAATGTTGTCTGACAAAGAATACTATGAAGGTCACACGCAATATAGACACTTCTTCATTTATAAACACTCTGATTTAACGTTATTATATTATCAGACTGTCGACACAGTCATCACGTCTGTTTTCTTCGTGGTAAACAGCATTTAATACCCACGACGAAAACAGACGGTATTTAATTGTTAAAGTTGCATCTATAAGATAACATCATCAGTATGAATTGTGATTAAGTGGTGCTTTATTACTTATTTTTAATGTAAGTTGGCAAACAAGCAAGCGGCTAACTAAATCCGCAAAACTAGCAAAGCGTCCGCTGCCGTGCTGACAAGATGTTAAAGCTGTTAAAGCTCTACTTATGTTAAAATTGTATGAAAAGATAAATAGTCTAACGATACTTGTGATATACGGGAAAGTACTCCAAAGCTTCATGACTCATGCGACATCGTTTCTGGTCCCCATCGAGGTTGACCGCCTCCTCATCCACCCGCAGCATGTTGGGGATGTAACCGGCATGCAGCTCGGTGCCCGGCGTGATCGGCGTCCCATTGCCGGGCAGGTTTACATAGCGTTGATTCCCGTGCAGGGAAAGCTACAATAATTCACTATATTGTACCAAGTATAATATGGACATATTATGAGACGAGAGGATAAGGACATAAATAAGGAAAGTGTTAAGATAGAGTGAATTGAGCGAAGAAAATATGGATAGATTGTGTGAAAGAGGATAAGCTTAAGTAGAGAACGAATTCAGACTTGTCAGCTTATAGAAATGTATGGAAAAACAGCACATACTGTGTCGACCCTCCGTAGGCAAAAGGGCAAGCTGATGATGATGGTTTACTAGGTATAATATAGACTCGACACACATTTTGTCTGCGTAAAATGACATTTTTCCGAAACGGGTAGGATACAAAACTTCTCTACTTGTACTACATAAAATTTTAGGCTTACATTTCAAGATGTTTATTATCTTCGAATTACTTTTATTTATTAAACTATTTAAACTTTCATAATACATTACTATAAACTAATTTAGAACCTATTACAATCTGTATTTTTGGGTAGTCGCTTTTATTTAGTTTACTTATTTTAAAACATGTATCTACTGTACGCAAAGAAGAAATCATTCAATTTAAATATATTATTTAAATAAACTTCGGTTTACTCACCCACTTGTAAGAGATATCAACATCGAAAGGTGTGGCTTGGCTTTGGTTTACTACTAACATTAGTCCGCCGGTAAAATCGAGATTTTTGTTAATTCTGTCGTTCGATGGCGCTGCCACACATTGTAACTCCATCAAATCCCTAATTGAATATCAAAATTTACAAAAAAAAACTAAAGCAATTTGCTGCACCAACTTGGAAGAAAATCAATATTTGTTACGATACCATGATTAAAAAAAATGAGACTTACCTCTTCAAATAACGGCCGTTAAACATACAGCAAAATCCATAAGTTGTCAAAACCATTTTAAAAAGCTTCGTACAGTTTTCAAATTTCCCACACCATCGACAGCTGCAGATTTAGAATGCATTAATGAGCAAAACAATATGGTACACATAATGTAAAGGGCATATCAGTGGGAAGACAATGGCTGGTGAAGATGATGGTAATAAATAATGTAATCATCAAGGATCAAAGATTTCAATTTGGGAGCGTTAACGCAATTTGTTAATGGTAAAACAGATCAAAGATCTAACGACATTGAGTTTTAAATTCAAATTACAGGTATCAAAAAAGTACGTGGAAGAAAAATAATCGATTTTCAAAAAAATATCCTTATTTATTTTAAGTAGTTCAAGAATTCGGATAATAAACAAAACAGAATTATTTACAAGAATCTATTATTTTTCCCTATAAATTGGTTTATGATATATAAATTTATTCAATGAAAAGTTTTATTTTCAAAATTATCGAATTTTGACAAACAAAAACTTTTACGGATTAAATACCACAAAATGAAAGAAAGGAAGATGACAACAATAAAATCTCAACGACAAACGCGCGTATGATTCGGAAATGTGAACTGCTAGTTGACCGAACACGCCCGCGCGAGCCGCATAGATGAAACTTAGTGGCTCCTCTTGCGTTAACGACGTAAATTAACCTTCGTTACTAGCTAAATAGCTTTAACTATGCGACTAAATCTATGTTTTTTGCGGCTAAGTTTATTTTTTGTGACTGAGTTACCACTGTTTGCGTTGTAGATGCATTTACAGATTCACCGGGTTTGAGCGGCTAAGTTACGTTAGTTACCCCTGTTTAAATGAATCGTAACCCAAACAATAGCAACTATGCAACCCCATCTAGTTATCGACTTGGACAAGTAAGAAATAATTTTTAACGCTAATTATTAATTTGCTATCCAAAATACCGGATTATGCATTCTTCACATGACGACGTCAGACTCAGTCCTGCCATCTCAATATCCATGTTGTTGTATTCTAGAATATTTTCAATGTTTTCCAAATCGTCCAAGCGATAGAAAATGTCCGGTGAAAAAAATGCTGCCAACTGTTGTATATGTTCTCGTAAATACTCTGCATTATAATTGACCGGATAATTGCTGTAAAGGATTAATGCGGCAAATTATTTGATAAAATAATCGTAAACGTAAAACTGACAACTAAACTTAAACGACAATAAGTGAGCAAAGGAATAAATAAAATAAAATTTCTATATGCAGTATATGGTAAAAAAAAATTTATTCTTTTTATTACAACGCCATCTGTTAGGTAATTGCATCATACTAGTAATTGTATCACGATCTGAAATAAAACCAATAAATACAGTAGTATCCCATAATAAATATTAGAAACCGGTGAATGTATGAATTAAAACATTTACAAATTATTTGCGAGTAATTATAAATGTACATTCTTACAGATTTTTTATGAACTCTTCAATTTTGTCATGTTGAAACGCTATTTCTGGACACACTATGACTGCAGGGAACGAATGCTCGGTTTTATGAGGTTCTAGTAGAACGATGAATGTAGGGTTTTCTAGAAACCGATCTACCCATATGTACAGCAGAATTAAGCAACATATTACAAAAACTATTAGCAGCGACGCCCAGAGCCATCTGTTGAATAAAAACAAAATCACAATTGTATCAAAGCTATTTAAAGTGTAAAATGTAATGTTTTACCGATGTTTTGATTTGGAGAGAAATTTTAAACCGTGTATTTGTGCTCGGTCCATTAAAATGGTTTCGTTCATTCTGCGTGAATGACTGTTCAGAGCTGAATTATATATTTTTAAATTACTCGAATCAATCATGATGACAGTTACTATCAGATCTACAATGTATGTTTGAATAATGAATACATTCAGAAATGCTAATTTGCTTTTAAGAGTTGTTATAAATTCTATCTTATTTTATATCTGACTAGGTGTTGCCCACGACTTCGCGCGTGTGGAGTTTTAAATTACAAAACTTGTTTTCGCCCCTTTTTTCAACCTATCACCTAAAATATTAACTTAGTAGTAATCTACGTAGTAACAGAAATCTACTGATGCCAGATACCATATTTCTAAGCCCGGTAGCGTGAGAGCTGATTTTTCTGTTGCCCTTATTGTTTGCGTTCACGATATCTTCTAATTTATTAGTCCAATTTAAATACTGTAAACGATAATTTTTTTCTACATTAAATTCTCCTGACAACAAACGCATTAATTTGGATAAGGATTCATATTGAAACCCGACAAAGTTGTACCGTTCGTATAAAACCACACTATAAAATACGCCATCGAAAAACACACTGTTTAAACTACGAGTATCAGCAATGAAAAATACATTTCCGTCTTTTTCTTTCTCTTTGATAAAACAGAGAGAACAATATTTTTAAAATAAATACAGTGGAATTGTATTGTTTGTTATTTTCTAATGTGTATATAAATAATATTTTATTTGGTTTAGCACTACATATATTTATTACGCTTTTATGATAAACATCATTCATAAAGCATTAACATAAATTAATGTTTCCGATAAAATCAGTGTTGTCATATGAATATTTTATTAATGTAATCATGTTAAATGTAAACATATGAATATGTGGCATACATTGGGTTGAATAATTTAGTTTGAGCGTATTGTTTATCTATTTATGTAAGCTAGGAAACAACTAAACCAGACTTTAGTAACAGCAAGAATTCAAATAAAATTATGTTTACATGTTTGATATTTTTGTTAGCAGCTGTTACACTTTATAAAAAATCTCTACATAATACGATTTAGTATTCTCTAAAGGAAGTTTAATATTCATATATTTTCATGAATGTCCTGGCGCCATAAAAGCGTGTCATTCGTCTTAATAACGCCCGCTCCCGCGTAATATAATATTTATTGAACTACCCACACTGAGGACCGAAGGGTCCAATTTATTTTCTCTATTTTTAAAATTCTGGATATATGTTTATACTTATTTGGTACTAATAACATTAGTTGTAAAGCAACATACACATTTTTGAAGTATTTCTAATAAAATCAAAGAGTCCTTATATGTTTATGAAAAGATTATTGTCTCTACGGGTAACTCAACTAAAATTTTTTAACGAATTTAAAAAAGCGCTTAGACGTTACGTCATTTCGTTCACCACATTTATTGCCACAAAAATGTAAAAGCTCACTGCGGCTCTGTCAATAACTTTTATCCGGTTGAGCGCAGTACTAACGTACAGGATGCTGGCGGAATTTCGAAAGAACTTTTTTTTAGTGTTACAAAAAATAGGTTTCCTGTTACTCAATTTTTTATAGTCTAAATTTTGTCTTCACTTTTAATAGAAATTCGAAAACTTTATTCTAACCAAAGGAAAAGAAGTTAAAATAAAAGAGTTTCAACAAGAAAGTCTGCAATTCGTTTCTAAATTTTTTTCCTAAAAAAGTATGAAACATTTTCTATTTTCAATGACCTACATCCCGTCCAACAGATAGGTTTATAGAAGTGTAAAGCTGACAAAGAGATGGAACTAAAATAAATGTCTAAGTTGGGCTTAGAGATGCATTGGTGTGTTAGATGCACACAACTGCCTTTGTAAGCTCCTCCTCTGTGGCGTGGTCCTCTGTCGCCTTCGCCACAACGTAAAGACATTTCAAAGGATGTCTTCTTTGAACGTAGATAACGGAAAAACAGTATTGAAACTGCAGCAAAATCGTATTCTGTAAAAAATAAATTAAATTAATTCATACGAGGTCGGAGAATATATATGTACAACAGCGATTTGTGGCAAAGTGAGTAAAAAACAAATATAGAAAGATATGGGTCTATGAAATAAGTTGTGTCCTATTTAATGATTTTCCTTTTCAATCTTAATCCGCTTTAGACAAACTCGTTTTAATTAATTAAAACACACGTCTCTGTGTGTGTAGTTGTATATTATCCCATATGATTTATAGTGTTTATATTCTACGTAATACAACTATTCGCCTACTCTAGTTTCACTCCAACACTCTAAAAAATTGCATTTACAAAATAAACTTAGATTGCAAGAGAAGTGTAAAATCGCAGCGAATTGCGCAAAATTCTTGGAAACTGTGAGTGCATTTTGAGCAAAACTTAAACATTACGAGGTAAAAAGTTTTCGGGGACGTCTGCAGTAGTTGCTAATGGAGTGTAAAATGTGTACGTGTCTGAACTCAGACGAACACAAACATGCTTCATCTCTGGGGATCAGCGAAAACTGAAGAGCATTCTCTTTTACGTGCATTAAAAATGAATACCCTCATTCCGTAACGGTTTTATAAAGAAATTGGCGTCTTGTATTTGAAAATGTCGTACTATCATGATCCATGGTTATTAGTGTTTTAAACATATTGTTCATCTTTGTGGTTTTCTTTGCCGACCACTCTAAATATGAGTTAGTAAGACATCATTTAGAGTAAATGTTAATTTTGTAGTGGAATATATTAGCTACAAAATATTTCACTAACCGAGCAACAAGGGTATTGAATGGCATCCAATATTTGCACATTTTTAAATGTTTAATCTAGTTTGCAGGTGGCGCTGGCGGTAGGGTTGCCACTTGAGCGATGTCGCGGCTCTCCGCAGCCTCGGCCTCGGTCAGCCGCACTTCATGTAATTTATGCCCGCGCATGAACCCTACATTTATATACTGGGGGTTCACTAATTAAAAAGAAGAGTATTAAAAATGTAACACCATTTATTTTGCTGTAAACATCGGATCGGAAACTCATTATGTTATTTTTTATTAATCTTATATTTGAGCTGTGGTCTGCGATTGCGTCACAATTCACAAATACCAGCGACATAACCTTTAGTGATCTTTTACGTCAGAAATAGTGAAGTAAACTTATTTAGTTAATGTTGTTAGTTTGAATGACGAGCGCTTTTTAGTGATGTGCTGGTGGTCGTTTATCACTTGAAGAGCGAGCGGCAAACGGCGGCGGCGGCGGCGGTGGCAAGATCATTACTCACCCGACACCTGTCGATAAAACTTACCTAGTTTTCGTTCATCGATAAATGTTCCAACACTATCTATCGGTAAAGGATACACCTGTGACCATACGACTTAGTATATTTTATTTTATCATCCGAATACTAAAAGTTTAGTATAATGTATCATTTATGGCAAAACAACATTTAAATTGTAACATTTATTTTTAACTTAATAGAATGTTGTAGTTTAATTCTACATAAGATTGAATCTCCTATGCGTCAGGTGTCGATGTAAAGGGCTACGTGTGCGGACATAAATTTACTTGAAGTGCGGCAACGGCTGCGGCCCGACTCGTGCGGCGACGCCAAAATATCAGTCACACGTCGACCCTACTTACCCACGATATATGAGTTCATATCTCTATGCGGCAATCTGTAACCGAAGGGACAATGGATGTACCTAAGTGTTGAATGTAAGGTGAATTGAATGTCTCTTTATATCTAGTCCCTTTCAGTATTTTTGTTGCTACAAGGTGTTTTATTTTTTTTAATACATAAAACTAGAGGTCACCGTTTCGTTTGTTCTTTCGTTCAACGTTCAATTTGTTCTTTCATTGCAGAATAGCTTTTGGGGATGAATATAATATTTCATCTCCATAAATTTTGTACAAGAAACTGCAGTGTTAGACAATTCACGCCGACCTGGCGTTGTCTATTCTAATATAATAAAGCGTAAACAAAGACTACTTCGTAGCCTAGGATGTCAGTAATCACAGCATATTTATGAATACTTTTTTCTTTAATAAAAAGTACTCCACTTACGATACCCTTTAAGCTATGTATTTTCACGACATTAAACTTAGGGGGTAAGTAAATTTAAAAAAATCCTTCATGTGGGAAGGGGACCAAAAACTACAAGCTGCCAATATTAATTAAACAAGGTTATTATGGTAATAGTTATTTTAACATTTTCAATTGAGAATTTAACAAATGCAATTAAATTCCAAGCAGATGAAGCCGCACGGGAACAGCTAGTAAATAATACAATTTTAAAGCGCCTGCTGTAATTCATTGCACTTTAAATGCGGCATGATTGCAAAAGATATGTTATAATTGCTGATATCCTACGCCACGAAGTAGTGTGTATTTGCTCTTAATTATATTAGTACAGATTATATTAAACAAAGTTACTTTTCGGAGCTGGTTTTCTACCACTAACTGTAAAGACGCGAGAACCTTTGTAATTGTGAATTTAAGCCATCGACGCGCTAAAGATGGAGCGCTATCGGCTCGTCTGGTGGCGAAGTAGTTCAATTGTCTAAATTAAAGAATTTGTCTTTTAATTTTTTAAATCTTGTTTTGAAACTGCCTCAAAATGACTTCATTAAGTAAACAATTACAGATTAAACGTTATCGGACACACTTTATGTTCTGGTTTGTGATTACAAATTTTATCTGATACGGATATCAACGACGCACAGAAATAGTCATAATAATATTGTCTACATGATAAGTAACATAAATGGTTTTTGTATTTACTTACGTCCAGGAAACACATCTGATTTGCCGATTGCTCATTTGCCATCCTATGGCAAAAAACTAAGTTGATTATTTTACAGTGCAGGTAAACTTATAATTAGACTTGGATTGTGTTCCATAAAAAGACTCTTGTTTAAGCAACTAAACGTCAGTAACTAGTTAGCAGTATACTGAATTGCAAGGATCTTAAATACGATATTTATTAGACGCTGTGTAGTCGTTTTATTAAACTGCTAATTATTGTTTCATGTGGACAGGTTTAATGTACAATGTTATCAAAGTTTATCATTGTGAATCGTTCTTATCTCATCGTAACAGTCTTTATGTCACATATTTGTCGGAACACACGCGCTGAAACATGTTTGCGATAGCTCTGATCCTTGTTGTACTCTGTGCGCTTTACTGGTACGGTACAAGAACCTTCAAATATTGGGAGAGTAAAGGAATCAAACATGACAAACCTGTACCATTCTTCGGCAACAGCTTGCCCGTATACCTAATGAAGAAGAGCATAACGCAAATGACTGCTGAACTTTACTGGAAATACCCAAAGGAAAAACTCGTGGGAAGTTACGGAGCCACAAATCCCGAATTAGTTGTAAGGGATCCAGACTTCGTGCGGCGAATTCTGGTAACCGACTTCTCGTATTTCTACCCGCGCGGCATCAACACTCATAAGACTGTGGTCGAGCCTCTGTTGAGAAATCTTTTTTTTGCTGATGGCGACCTGTGGAAATTACTGAGACAACGTCTAAGTCCAGCATTCACAAGCGGGAAACTTAAAGCCATGTTTCCGCTCATTGTGGAGCGTGCTGAGCGCCTGGTGGACAACGCGATCAACGCCCCACAGACGGGACGCGTCCTGGACTCTCGAGAACTGATGGCTCGCTACACCACGGACTTCATTGGGGCGTGTGGCTTCGGCCTTGACGCCGATTCCCTAAGTACTGAAGATTCCGCTTTCAGAAGACTCGGTGCTAAAATATTTCAAACTCGCTGGCAAGATATTCTTATTCAAATGTTGAAGGAAATGTTTCCTGAGACATGTAAACATCTAAAAATACTTGGAAAAGTAGAACAAGATGTAATTTCCCTGGTTAAGAGCATTATTGAAAACAGAAATTATGAGCCTTCTGATCGGAACGACTTTATCGACCTACTTCTTGAATGTCGCAGAAAAGGAAAAATGATAGGAGAATCTATAGAAAAAAGAAATGCTGACGGGAGTCCTCAAGAAGTATCGCTGGACATGGATGTATTTCTGATGGCCGCTCAAGTATTTGTATTCTTCGCTGCGGGTTTCGAAACATCCTCCTCCGCAACAAGCTTCACGTTACATCAGCTCGCATACCATCCTGAGATACAGAGAAAAGTGCAAGAAGAAATCGACACAATTTTGTCGAAACACAAAAACACGCTGTGCTATGACGCAGTAAATGAAATGAGTTATTTACATTGCGTTTTCAAAGAAGCGCAGCGAATGTTTCCTTCTTTAGGGTTTCTGATAAGGCAGTGTGCTCGGCGGTACACATTCCCAGAATCGGACCTCACAATAGACGAGGGTGTGACCATATTTATTCCTGTTCAGGCATTTCACTTGGACCCACAGTTTTTTGATGATCCATTAACGTTCCGGCCGGAAAGATTTTTTCATGAATTCTCTAACCCAATGACAAAATACGTATATTTGCCATTTGGTACAGGACCTCGAGCATGCGTAGGTAAGATATATTTTTTTAAGTAACAATTGAGTTCTCAAATAGTAAAAGTGAGAAATTATTAAATAACATATTTTATGTAAAATATAAGACACAAGTGTATAATGATCCGCAATATAACAAATTCTTTTCAATTCCAGGCGAGAGACTCGGTCTGATGCAGTCTCTGGCGGGTCTGGCGGCGGTGCTGTCGCGCTACTCGGTTGAACCCGCGCCGGAAACATTGCGCTATCCAAAGGTCGACCCTTCCTCAAACATAGTGCAGAGTATCAGTGGTGGTTTACCTTTGCTGTTCCGTCCGAGAGCAGCGAGAAATTGATAATCACCATTTCTATAATGTTTTCTAGACTTAACGAGCAAAAAAGCAAGTAATGTACATTTGTTTCAATTAGTTCCTTTTATTAATGTTTTATTTGACTGGATATTTTATTATACAGATTACCAGATTACCACCTTTCTACTACCTGACATCAAAAATACCTTATTAAAATCGTTTTATTTCTTCGTCGATGTTTCTGTCTATCCCCACCACAGCCAATCCCTTTAAACCTGTTTGTCTTAGTCTTGAAAGAAGTCGTTGCGTATAACGTATTTCAATAAGGTAGCGGTGACAATACTAAATTATAATTGGTACCAGACCGAGACAATGTTACTTGCTAGGCCCCTTCCTCAATTTAGACATAACATCGTACTCACAATGACCTGTGAAATCTTTTAGACTTTGTATCGCGATAATTTTAGTATTTAATCTACATGTTTACTACATTTTTAAATAATATTATGCAACATTTTTGTTTACATATTTATCAGTACGTTACGAAAATTGACTTTGTTTTGTAAGTAAATTGTAGACCTCTTCGCCATCACACCCTTTTCTTAGAAAGAACGAAATAAGAAAAATATGTAACTAAAACTTTTTTTTCAACTTTGATATCTGTAATTGTGTTTTTTTACACTAAGCAACTAAACGGATAAAATCCGAAGAATTAAAACCTTAAATTTCATTCAGAAGGTTTTCATGTTAAAATGAATTTAAATAGTTATTAGCATGAATCTCAAGTACCCAATTGTTTTCATTCAAAACATACGAAAAAATTGTTTGTAAAGGAAATCCTTAAACATGTTTTGAATAATCTTTTTTTTATTTTGTACAATGAAATACAATTCGAATATAACGGTATTTTAAATACGTTTTACAAAAAATTCATGGGCAAAAGCAATAAAAGGATAAAAATATCCGACTTTACAAATGTTGTGCCTCCGCAGTGACGTCATAAACACTCGTGAAGCTTTCCCGTTAATCTTATCTTGTTCTGATATTAGTTATCGAAAAAGTTGTTTAAGTTTTTTTTGTTATCAGTAGTCTTACTTAATCAAATTAAACAAAAGTACAGATTAAATTCGTATACATTTGTTATAAATTTTTTCATGTCATCATATAAGAAAAAGGGAGAAAACTATTTCAAGCGAATTTTTTTTTCATATTTATCGTCCCAAACCTACAGTTATGGTTTTAAATTAAATTCACGATTAAAACAGAGGAACGGTTCTGGTATAATACTAGCTTTCACTCGCGACTCTATTCGCGTGGAATTAAATAAAAACGAAAGTAAGTAGCCTGTGTTCTTCCAGACCAGACTATCCTCTACATCTACAGAACACATGATCAGAAACTTTTAGCCGTTTAGGCAACAAACATCTTTACATTCAAACTGTCGCTTTGATAACATAAAATCTTATTTTGTTATTTCGCGCCCGCGCCCGCACTCGCTCCCGCGCCCTCTACTCAACGTGAACAGGCATTTCCAACTTAATATTCGAGTTTCCATATAATGACAAGGAAAACCCAACGCGACTTAAAGTGCTTGATACCACAAGCAAGTTTGCACACAAATTTCACACGTAAAAGTATTTTATTTTATTTTGAATGTGAAATTAATTTTGGTATTTAAAGAGAAAAGTAAGCAGTGTTTAAGTGATTTAGAACGAGTATGATGACATAGAGCACCATCTCACAATAAAATAAAGACTAAGGTAATATATACAGAGTGTCCGGAGAAGATGTAGACCACGAAGCACCATTAATTAGTTGATCTGTAATATAAGGGTTTAACCTAACTTACTGTTTTATGACTAAACCGTTTGAAAATTAAGTTTTTACCAGAAAAGAAGAGTCTTTCAAATTAAATTCTGAATCCACGGATAAAATGAACGATTGCGGCAGTTGCAAAAATAAAATCAACTATTGTTTTAATATTCGTTGATTTTACAATAAAGGTTTCTTCTTCAAAAATGTACAAACGAATACACACACACAGTTTCAATATAAATAAAATATGTTAATAACTTTTGATATATAATCATTATCAGGCTAAGGTTGTTCACACCTGAACGTAGGCCTCCCCATCTATTTGGACAATGCTCGGTTCTATTCTGCCCGCATCCAGTATACTCCCGCAACCTTGGCAACGTTGGTCCACCTTCCCAACTCACGGCTCTATCAGCCGTCCGTTTTGCGAGCAATATGGCGGACCCATAATCACTTAACTCTGGTTCTACGGATCGCATGGTTCCTGACGTAATCTCGCAGAGAGACTCCGAGCATTAGCCCTCGTCATTGCCCTTTGAGTGAATTTGAGCCGCGTATTATTGCCCGCGTAGAACGGCCTCGTTTATATACCGTACGTCATTGCAGGCAACACACACAAGTCAAGGACTTTTATCATGACTTATTTGCATAAATGTAAAATAGTTATTAAACTTTGCAGTAAATCTTAAAAAGTGGTATGTCGAGTTAAATTGTCATATTTTTAACCAAATCGTAAAATATGTTTAGCAATTAAGGCTAAAAATTTATCAAACATCCATTCATTAAAACTCTCCCATTTCCCATTCCAGGCATGGTACATGTACATACACAACAATAATGTTAGTAACTTTCGCCCGTGACTCTATTCGATTCAAATTTAAAAAAAAGTAAGGAGCCTATGTGACTTGAAGATGTAACCATTTTATCTAGATTAAGAGCGGGTACTTTGACTAAACTATCGCACACGGCGATTGTTTCGTACCCAATTCAACTGTCTAATTGCATAGCTAAAAACCGAGTAGTGTGCGCACCTCCGTATAAGCTCATAGGAATCAAAGTAAGACTAAACAGTCGTGCGATAGTTTAGTTTCAAGTGTGCACACGCTCTCTTTCTCCTGCCGTGTGCATTAGGTAATAGCTACATATAGATTTGTTATCATTATTATTGACTGCAATAGTTCTTATCATTTCTCTATCGGTCTGTGTTAAATATATAAATTTCTGATTAATTAACATATTCGCGTAAGTTAACGGAATCATGTTAGCCGTAGCTCTTATAGTCGTGGCCGTTGTCGCCGTGTACCTGTATGGTACAAGGACTTTCAAATATTGGGAGAAGAAAGGAATCAAACATGACAAGCCCTTTCCGTTCTTCGGCAACAACTGGCCGATGTACTCCAGAATGAAGAGCATGACAGAAGTTGCTACTGAACTGTACTGGAAATATCCGAAGGAAAAAATTGTAGGCTTCTATCGAGCAAACCAACCGGAACTGTTGATAAGAGACCCAGAGCTTGTGAAGAAAATTCTTGTGACAGACTTCGGCTATTTCAATTTGAGGGGCTTAAATACTCATAAAACTGTTTTAGAGCCAATTTTAAGTAATTTATTCTTTGCTGATGGTGACGTTTGGAAGTTATTGCGCCAACGTATGACGCCTGCATTTACAAGCGGAAAGCTGAAGGCGATGTTTCCACTGATTATAGAAAAAGCCGAGAGGTTACAGAATAACGCAATAAATGTACCACCAACAGGAGGAGTCCTGGACGCTCGTGACATATTGGCGCGGTACACTACTGACTTCATCGGAGCTGTCGGGTTCGGTCTAGATTCAGATTCATTGAGCGAGGAGGATTCAGCTTTTAGAAAACTCGGCGTGGAAATTTTTAAATTTGACGTTAGTCAACTAATAACACAAATGCTGAAAGAAATGTTTCCTGAAACTTTCAAGCACTTAAAAATTATAAAAAAAATAGAAAATGATGTATTCGCTCTTGTGCGGAGCATATTGCAAAAGAGAGGTTATAAGCCAAGTGGTAGAAACGATTTCATTGACCTACTAATAGAATGTAAGAATAAAGGCAACATGGTGGGAGAATCTATCGAATTGACAAACGCTGATGGTACACCTAAAGAAGTATCGATAGAACTGTCTGAAGCTCTAATGGTTGCTCAAGTGTTTGTGTTCTTTGCTGCTGGCTTCGAGACCTCCGCTTCTTCTACAAGTTATACTCTACATGAACTGGCTTATCATCCAGAAGAGCAACTAAAAGTGCAAGAAGAAATCGACAGGGTTTTATCAAAGTACGATAATAAATTATGCTATGACGCGATCTATGAAATGAGTTATTTGCGATGCGCTTTTAAAGAAAGTATCCGAATGTTTCCTTCCTTAGGTCACTTGGTAAGGAAGTGTGCTCGGAAGTACAAATTCCCAAACATGGACCTAACAATAGACGAGGGGGTCTCGATACTGATTCCAGTGCAAGCTATGCACAAAGATCCTCAATTTTTTGAGGACCCCGATAAGTACCGGCCTGAACGCTTTCTGACTGACTTCATCAATCCAATGACGAAGCACATATATTTGCCTTTTGGTGAAGGTCCTCGAGCATGCATTGGTAAGTTGATTTTCAACATAGATATTAAATACAATATTTTTGTATTACTTAATTGTTAAGAATATAAATGAACTTTTACCTCCTAATCTTAACATTGGTAAAGTTCGCAACGACTTTAGCACGAGTTGGGAAAATGAGGATGCAATAAGACATTTTAAATATTTGCAGGTGAGAGACTCGGTCTGATGCAGTCTCTGGCGGGTCTGGCGGCGGTGCTGTCGCGCTACTCGGTTGAACCCGCGCCGGAAACTCTGCGCCACCCAAAAGTGGATCCCACATCAAATATAGTGCAGTCCATCGTCGGTGGTATACCTTTGTTGTTCCGTCCGAGGAGCCAGTATCATAAGAATTAACCACTCAGAAGATTGTTGTTTTACTTCGATGTTGAAAATCTTGTCGACACCAGTATAAATATTATGTAAATAAATACTACGGTTGTGGGAACTAAATTTGTTAACTTTTTTTATTTCCAACTTATTGATTTTCGTGAAACCCCATTTATGAGAACTTCGACTTTAAATATTTATTTGAGGCTAAAGAAACGTTTTGTTTGACGAGTTTCCCTCGAATCGGCATTTCAGTTTTTTAATGTACTGTATACTAGCTATTGTTCGCGGCATCGTCCGAAATATACGTTTTAATAAACATAGCCTATGTAACTAAGTGATAACCTAGCTAGTGGTGAATTTGTTAAATCGGCCCCGTAGTTTGTGGGTTATTTCAATACATACAAAAATAAAAATCTTATTATAATATTAGTATAGTTATAGATTGACTGCCTGATATCTTGGCGGGTCTAAACATCATACGTGTTATTTCGCAGAACACATTTTCAAATTTGGCGGGGTTTAAGGGATGCACTGCGCAGCGCGTCGATGTCCTTGGCTCGCCAAGATATTTGATATGGATTAAAGGTACCTACTTACATGATGACTGAACCGCAATCAATCTACCATATCACCTGTCGATCGCGTAATATGTTGTCCGGCTTATTAGCTACATCTCTTTGTTATTACTTACTTTTATCATTAGGTTATCTCTAAGAGTTTGGTAACACAGTGGTCGAGCCCGCTTTAACATCGTACAGACGACAGGCGTGAAGTGGGAGAAATCCCGCGTTTCGTTTGATGACTGTGATGCCGGAGTACCGACTTTAAAGTTCAAATGCTATACATAATTTTCCTATAAACGAGAAAATCAGTAAACTGGTTTTTTATTTTTTTAATTCCATTTATATTTCCTGCACTAGATTAAAATTTTTTCTGTAGAATGTAATGTTTTATTGAAAGAAGGTAAAAATTTTAGTTTTTACACTTGTTTGAAAAATTTTAACTACGTCGCTTCCTACCCATTGAACTTTTAACAAGTGACAATGGACAAATATCTCTTCTTTTATTACAATTTCAAGGTATTGTTATAAAATATCCTGAGATTGCAACGAATTATGGCATATCTACTAACGAGTGAAATTTTAACCTTTTGTCTTTATTACGAAGTTACCTCCAATCAAACATCCATACATCTAAACTTTCACATTTATAAGATTAGGTAAGATAGCTGATCCCGAGCGGCTTCATTCACATGACATCATGAACATGACATCACCACATGACATCATGATATCAAAATACCTATTATAAAGTTTCCATTATATTGTTGACATTGCGTACAACTTTCAATTGCAAATCTCAATATTAAAATGTTTATATGACAACAAAGGCCTTTACAACTGGTTAACAATTACCCTTACCATTGCAATCTTGCTTCTTTCTTTTTATTGGTTTGTAGTTTTTGTTTCTGACTCGAAAGACACTTGTTTTCTGTTTATACTCTCTAAATAAAATAGCGTGAAGTGTATAAGCCTATAGCGTGTCGTATGTGTAGGGCTTTTTTTTTGGCGGCTCTATGCCGCCCTCTCGTTTCCCCTAACATATTTGTGAGAAAGGGACGTTGGGTGCAGGTGGAAACTCTTTATTTATTAGTTTTTTCTCTTTCAAATATTTTTACTAATAAAAATAACATGAATAAAGTATGAAGTGAAATTAGTATTAGTCTGAAATGTGATTAGATAAGGTTACATTTTATCAGGGCGCAGCGCTATCTGTTAGCAAATAGTTCAAACCACATGTCAACATACTTTGTTTTAAAAATAATTAGGGAAATGGCCGATAGATGTCCTGAAATAATATAATATAATTGGTGACTTCGAAGTATCTGATCTGATCAATGTAACCATTCCTATATTTATATAGATATAGGGAAAAGTACTTTATTTTATTATATTGATTTTATTTATATCACTAATAACAGGAGTTTATAACATTGTTGGAAAATGTTCTATGATATGTCAATTGTTACTCGTGCGCAGAAGCTTTGCCGGTCGCTTGATATTCTTCTATCTTTGCTTTAGCTATCCACAAAACATCTTAATTTTTTTGGTTTTTGTGATGATCGCTTCTCCGTATAATATATCCATATCGTACTAACCATTTTCTTCACAATTTCTCCACTACTGGCGCTACTTTCGAACTTCCACTGATATTATCTCTTCCTCTTATTCTTAAATTTATCTCTTTTTGTCACACCATATATGCATCTTAACATACACATCTCGCTGACGCTGCCCACACACGATAAACAAATTATAATTTACGATAAAAATTATAATTTCTGTGACATCTAGGATGCATCTCAGGTGCTGTTTCATGAATAAATTTACTTCTTTATTTGTACTCACATAAGGTATTCATCATGTTGGCGGCTGCTCTGATACTCGTGGTGCTCGTCGCCCTGTACCTGCACGGTACAAAAACATTCAGATATTGGGAGAAGAGAGGAATCAAATATGAAAAACCCGTGCCATTTATAGGCACCTACTTACCGGTGATGTTCAGAGTGAAGAGCATGGCACAACTAGCTGTTGACTTGTACTGGAAATATCCCAACAAAAGAGTCGTAGGTTGCTATAGACTAATGCGACCGGAACTAGTGGTTAGAGATCCAGTACTTGTAAAACAAATTCTTGTAACAGATTTCGTCTATTTTAATGAAAGAGGTTTCAACACACATAAAACTTACATAGAACCACTATCGAAAAATCTGTTCTTCATTGATGGTGACATTTGGAAGCTCTTACGACAACGCATGACGCCCGCATTTACAAGTGGAAAGATAAGAGCGATGTTTCCACTTATCGTAGAAAGAGCTGAGCGGTTACAGAACAATGCAATAAATGTACCGTCAACTGGAGGAGTGCTGGACGCGCGGGAAATAATGGCGCGCTACACTACCGACTTCATCGGAGCTGTCGGGTTCGGTCTAGATTCAAATTCACTCATTGAAGAAGACTCAGCATTTAGAAAACTCGGTGCTGAAATTTTCAAGTTTACCATTAGTCAAGCAGCAAAACAATTGCTCAAGGAGTTTTTTCCTGAAACATTCAAAAACATAAAAATAATGTCGAAAATAGAAGATGATGTATTCGTACTAGTACGAAATATACTTCAAAAAAGAAACAACAAACCGAGTGGAAGAAATGACTTTATCGACCTATTGCTTGAATGCAAGGAAAGGGGAAACATGGTAGGAGATTCTATAGAAATGACAAACGCTGATGGTACACCTAAAGAAGTATCGATAGAACTATCAGAAGCTCTAATGGTTGCTCAAGTGTTTGTGTTCTTTGCTGCTGGCTTCGAGACATCTGCTTCCTCTACAAGTTATACTCTACATGAACTGGCTTATCATCCAGAAGAGCTAGTAAAAGTACAACAGGAAATCGATAGAGTTTTAGCAAACTACAACTATAAGCTATGTTATGATGCAATTTATGAAATGAATTATTTGCAATGCGCTTTTAAAGAAGGAATCCGTATTATGCCATCGTTAGGTTACTTGCAAAGAAAATGTGCTCGTCGATACACATTTAAAGATTTGGACCTGTCAATAGACGAAGGGGTTTCGATAGTAATTCCTCTACAAGCTATGCACAAAGACCCCGCATATTTTTACGATCCAGATTCATTCCGGCCGGAGCGTTTCCAGACAGACTTTATCAACCCTATGACGAAACAAATCTTTTTGCCCTTTGGGGACGGCCCTCGAGCATGCATTGGTAAGTTAACACTAAAATGTACTACTGATTTCTGTTTTAAATTTTGCAGTCATCTTAATTCTGTGTGGTGTCCGCCAGAGTGAAATTGGCCGTGTGGTTTCAGACAAAGTAGTATCAGTGGTTTGCTATCCGGACACTTGCATTTTTGCGTGCCGGCGACTCAACTTTGGTCTTTGTCGCTTTATGGTAGTTATAAAAAATAAAGTAGTTTATAAAAATTGTAGGATTGGCAAATGAATTCCGGGGCATATAACAAAAAAACGCGACCCAACGTAAAATGCCAAAAAGATCGAATATTTAATTTTGCTAGCTATTTGGTCTTGAAATCGATAGATGATCGTTTTAACATGGAATTGATGGCATGAAACTAGCAAAAACTTGACTGGTTACAAAAACGAAAAAAAACATTTGTTACCTAACTGGTTAGGTAAATTTAGTTAGGTAAATGGAGCAAGCCGTTATTTCCGCAACTTCACGGCTAATACGTATTTTTCTGGCAGTGCATTAAAATTTGATTGAGCTTGGATTTGCGTAGAAAAAATTAATCACCAATACCTTAAAAACCATTTTCTGGCATTGTTATGATTTATGGTATGTCTATAAATGTTTAAAACTTATAGTAGCTAGGCCTTTTTTATAAAGTACAGATTCTAAAACATTTTTTTAATTATTTCAGGTGAGCGATTGGGTAAAATGCAGTCTCTGGCGGGTCTAGCGGCGGTGCTGTCGCGCTACTCGGTTGAACCCGCGCCGGAATCGTTGCGCCATCCAAAAATTGATCCCACATCGAATATAGTGCAGGCCGTCATCGGTGGTATACCTTTGTTGTTCCGTCCAAGGACTGCGTAACAGCGCCTAATGCCAGTTATAAGAAATTTGTCAAATTATGTTTTCACCAAGTAATCTAGAATGAAAATAGGTGTAAATATAAGTATTCTTATTACTTTTCTAGAAAAAGAACTTAAAACCGATGTAAAAAAAACTACAAAGTCTCATCAAGTTGTGTGCGAGCATACAAAGGTTATTTTTTATTTTGATAAGGCGGCATACGAGCGATCGGCCACCTGTTATTTCCAAAAAAGCGAAGTGACCGCTACTCATAGATATCCGCAATTACAGATGCGTTACCTTCCCATCCTTTCCTTATAAGAAAAGAAAAGAAAAGAAACGGAAGGGAAAGGGACTTAAATTAGGCTTCCGTAAACTTCTTTTCAGGATAGATCACCATTCTAAGTGTGAAATCACACTTTTCATAAACATGCAACAAACTCTTATCTAAGATAACGACATGACTACAAACAGTCAAAGTCCATATTCCAAACACTGGACTTTGTCCCTTCGTATCTATTATCTACAGTTTAATTTATTTCGCAATGTTTTTTACATTTTTCGTAATAAAGATATTGACATGATGAGTACTATTTTATTATACCTGATTCACAAAAACAAGTGACGATTAATTTATCAAGTGTTCATACAGTGGTAGACCCCCTAATGCATCAACGCACGAATAGGTCGGCTCACCTGGTGGGATACCATGGCCACAGAGCAGACAAGCGTGAAGTGGGAGCAATTCCGTGTTTCGTCTGATGAGTGTGGTGCCGGAAGCCCAACTTAAGTCCATTTTCCTTCCCACCGTTTTTCTTATAAGTATATGATGGGGAACGTGGATTTAACGGTGGAGGAGACGCATACGAAACATCCTCTTTATGAGCGTCTTCTCCTCCGTCGATTCTGGATAGGCAACGGATACGCTATTGCGAATGTCTATAGGTAGTGATCTGCGTTATTTTGGCGGTTTCAGGTGTCCGCTTACTCGTTTGCCACCTAGTAATATGTAAAATCTTCTTCTTCTTCGTTTCTTCATTGCTGAAGGTCTTGTTTGCCCTGGTAAGCCTTTACCGAGTCAACGACCAGCTGCCTCCACGCCGCCCTATCTTCGGCCCGTCTCAGAGTAGTCGGGATGTTGAGTCCCAGTATGAACTGAACCTGAACCGTGATTTTGCCCTCGATCTTTCCAACCACTATTAGTTTATCCAAATTGTCAGGTTCTTTACAGACAATATGGCCGAAGTATCCCAGAACTCGTCAGTAGCATGTTGTGGATAATCTGGTAGGCGTTTTTAATTGATTTTTAATGTTATATATAAAATAAGTGTTCAGTACGTTTAAAGGTATAAACAATCTTATGAACTTATAATTCAATTGTTAGTTACAACGTTATTTGGTAATTGTAATAACAATAAACCCTTAAGTAATGTGAAGTACGAAGCTTGACACGGTTACTTCTTGTCTTATACGATCTCATGATTCTACTGGCATGTGTGTATGCATTTTACAAATGCGAGATCGCAGTTTTTTTTTATTTATGTAATTTTTTATCAATAAAATGTTCTCGCTTATAAGTATTATTATTTTAACTTAAGGGGTATAACATTGTTTAAGCTAGCATTCTCAGTTAAAGAGATCTTTGGGTTTTTTATGTTTTAAGTGACCCGGATGCAATGCTTTTTAATGTGTTAGTAAGATTAGTAATATTTGAAAAATTAAAAAAAAATACCAAGTAAATAGATTATAATATCTATTTATGTAATCTTGGATTATGATAAAACACCGAAGATAAGAAAGTTTGTCAAAATATAAAAGTACAGGTACAAAGGTACGCTTTTACTTACGTAAACATGATATATTTATGACATGTTATTATTCATTGGGAAATTCAATATCATTTATCACGACCTTATCATACTTACTTCGATCTCAAAGATCAATAGATATTACTTCTATGAGTATAGCAATGAAGGATGACATACAACTACAAATTCAACTGTTTGCACCGTCATATCTCTGAAACGGTACTCCTTAGAATAAACATACAGGGTGGTTTTGTAGATAACCACCGACCCGCCCTGTCTTCGCCCGGGTGACAAACATTATGCTATATCTGATATATTTTCTGTCATATTAGTACATTTTACGTTGATGTCCCGTTGATTGAGTAGTAAATATGCTGTAAGACAGTCTCGACTTCGACATTCGAGCATTTTTTCTGGTTACGCTCTTTGCTTGTGATGTCAATATCTGCTAAACTATTAGTCAGATTTAATAACTAACATATTTAGGTAAGCATTGACATTAGAAGGAAAAAAATAATTTAACGAAAATATTACAACAAAAAAAATTGAGATTATTCGTTATGTACAAAAATGTAAATGTTTCCTCTTACGATTTATTTTTTAGGATATTCACCTATGAATATTTTTTCAAATGCGGGAATGTGGATAAAAGAGAACTGTTACGGGTTCTCATAATAATGGTATTCCGTCTATCCCCATCGATGTTTAGCTTTTTGAAAGTGTCCCATTATACCTAACTGTTATACTCTACATAACTTAGAAATAATAGTTACAAAAACAACGTTTGTTTAATTTTCTAAATTTATTTATTGACAGATTACTTATAAAAAATTAGCGCTACAGAAAACTTTATACAATAAACCATACCCTATCATACCACATACATTATATATAAAAAAACGGTGAAACCGTTTTGAGAAACGTTGTTACATGAGGCGCTGTTACGAAATCCTCGGACGGAACAATAAAGGTATTCCACCGATGACGGACTGCACTACATTCGATGTGGGATCAATCTTTGGATGGCGCAACGATTCCGGCGCGGGTTCAATCGAGTAGCGCGACAGCACCGCCGCCAGACCCGCCAGAGACTGCATTTTACCTAAACGCTCACCTAAAATTAAAAAAACGGTTAAGTCTTTCAATAGTTATAAAAATATTTAGATATTTACTTAATTAGACATTTTATAACAAAAAATATTATATTAAACTCACCAATGCAGGCTCGAGGACCATCACCAAAGGGCAAAAATACATGTTTAGTCATTGGATTTATGAAGTCAGTCTGGAAACGTTCCGGCCGGAAAGAATCCGGATCGTCAAAGTAGGCGGGGTCTTTGTGCATGGCTTGTAGAGGAATCTTTATGGTCACTCCCTCGTCTATTGTCAAGTCCAAATCTTTGAATGTGTATCGACGAGCACATTTCCTTTGCAAGTAACCTAACGATGGCATCATGCGAATACCTTCATTAAAAGCGCATTGTAAATAAGTCATCTCATTGACCGCATCATAAGATAACTTATTGTTGTGCTTTGCCAAAACTCTATCGATTTCCTGTTGTACTTTTACTTGCTCTTTTGGATTATAAGCCAGTTCATGTAGAGTATAACTTGTAGAGGAAGCAGATGTCTCGAAGCCAGCAGCAAAGAACACAAACACTTGAGCAACCATAAGTGCTTCAGTTAGTGCTATCGATACTTGTTCAGGTGTGCCATCAGGTTTTGTCAACTCTACCGAATCTCCCACCATGTTGCCCTTTTCCTTACATTCAAGCAATAGATCGATAAAGTCATTTCTTCCACTCGGTTTGTTGTTTCTTTTTTGAAGTATGTTGCGTACCAGTGCAAATACATCATCTTCTACTTTTGCCATTATTTTTAAATGTTTAAACGTTTCAGGAAATACTTCCTTGAGCAATTGTCTCAATAGTTGATTAACGCTAAACTTGAAAATTTCAGCACCGAGTTTTCTAAAGGCTGAATCTTCTTCAACGAGAGAGTTTGAATCGATGCCGAACCCGACCGCTCCGATGAAGTCAGTAGTGTAGCGCGCCATTATTTCCCGCGCGTCCAGGACTCCACCAGTTGGCGGTACATTTATTGCGTTGTTTTGTAAGCGCTCAGCTCGTTCTACGATAAGTGGAAACATCGCTCTTAGCTTTCCACTTGTAAATGCGGGTGTCATGCGTTGTCGTAAGAGCTTCCAAATGTCACCATCAATAAAGAACAGATTTTTCGATAGGGGTTCTATAGCAGTTTTGTGCGTGTTTAAACCCCTTATATTAAAAAAGACAAAGTCTGTTACAAGAATCTGTTTCACAAGTTCTGGATCTCTAATCAATAGCTCCGGATGCGTTAGTCGAAAGCTGCCTACGACTCTCTCGTTAGGATATTTCCAGTACAATTTAGCGGCTATTTGGGTCATGCTCTTCGATCTAAAGAACACCGGTGAGAAGTTGCCGAAAAATGGTTTAGGCGTTTCATATTTGATTCCTCTCTTCTCCCAATATCTGAATGTTCTCGTACCGTACAGGTACACGGCGACAAGCACCACCAGTATCAAAGCCACGGCCAACATGATGTCACTGGACTATGTGAGTGCGGAAAAAAGTCGGACATTTATATATGATAAAGCAATTGATAAGAACTTTAGATGTGACAAAAATGATAAGAATTTAACAATTAAATCTTAGTGAGTAAGAATATATATTCACAACTATTTTTGAAAAATGCTTTGATAACGTTAAGAAAAATAGTTTAAAAAGAAAAAGACTTCGTTTGCCTTGAGAAAGAAGAGCCTAACAGAAAAAATAGTAAGTAGTAAGAATACATAGACTGTATTCTTCCAAAATATGTTCTACATTTGCGCCAAACTTCAGCGAGATTGGTTCAGATAATTAATTATTTACGGCTTACTCACGTATACTTTTCTTTTTCCGGTGACGGCACCGACCGCACAGACCCTGCGGGGGTCCTTCTTCAGGGCGAGGGTTAAGTATGTATCGCGTTCGCGTCGCGCCTCGCACTGAGTAGTGTAGTATACGTGAATAAGCCGTAAATAATTAATTATAAAATGTCTCACGAAAGTTTAAATAATTTAATTGGTTCAGATGTTTGGGAGATACATAATAACATACATCCATCCATTCATCTAAACTTTCTCATTTATAGTATTATATACTAGTATAGTATTATTACTGCTAGAGTTATTTGAAGGACGAAATTCCGGTGCGCCGACCCTATGGGAGTAAGATAAGGTAGAGGAGTATACGAGTAATATTGTATTATTCGGGTTATTAGTAAGATAAAAGAACGTATATTACTTTTGATTAGAGTAGCCATTTATAGTATTTTACGACATCTATCGGTGATATCCATAATCGTTTTTATTAAAACGAATTTGTTAATGTGGTTCAGACTATCTACTAATTAATAGATAGCGCTGCAGTCTCTTGATATATTATACTTATACTTATACTAATGTAATAATCGCATCGCAAGACGAAAATCTGAGATTTTAGCATCGGAGAGAGAGAGAGGGAGAGAGAGAAGGAGAGGGAGAGCAAGTACACATTTTAGCCACTGTCATTGAACATTATTTTGAATTCTAAAGCAATGGCTTTAAAGCTCAGTTTCAAATATTCTTAGATTCATATATGTTTTAGAATAATAATAATTTGAAATATTTAACCTTGACATCGAATTCGTTGCATTATTTTGTGAAAATTGTTTAGTGAGTCGAAACGCAGTAGAAAGTTCGACCTAATTGGCTCCGCAAATAAAAAATAAGGAACTTTTGTTGTTCAATTGTATTATTAATAAAAATTCTTACCAATATTATAAATGCGAAAGTTTAGATGGATGGATGTTTGTTAGAGTTTGTACCCTAAAGTGCAGTACGGACCTCGATAGATGTATAGTATAGTCTAGAAGAACCTATATGGTACCTGCTTTTTTTTAAATTCTTCGCGTACGGAGTCGCGGGAGAAAGCTAGTCTAGAAATAATGTTCGACATATTATTACAATAATAAAACAAGCTCGTTCTCTCTCGTTCTCGCTTGCAAAATACAAAAAAAAATTAACATTCTCTAAAACTTGCAATTGCAAATGTTAAAAATTCAAATGCAAAAGGCAACCTTACTTCTCTGCTGCTATTGACTTGTAGTTTTATCTCTTTCTCGCAGAGCAGTTTATTCCATTTCTTTTTTTAAATAATACCTAGTACACTTTTGTTAATTGACTAATATTTTCTTTAACCATGCCAACTAAGCTCGAGGTTTACAATAGTCGAATGGCAAGACAGACGTGAAGTGGGAGCAATTCTCCGTTTCGTCTGACGAGTGTGCGCACCGGAGACCTAATATTAGACCCATTACCTTATAAGAATTGGATAGGAAGGGAAAGTGACTGTGGAGTGAGTTATGGTGCAGGAGACGCATAGGAAATATCCTCTTCATGTGTGCCTTTCTCCGTCAATTAAGGGTAGGCAGCGCTCTGTAATTGCGGATTTTTATAGGCAGCGGTTGCTTTGGCTTTTCGGAGAATTTAGGTGGTCGCTCGCTCGTTTGCCACGTTATAATATAAAAAAAAAGATAGTTCGACACTAATCTCTTAAAACATATCAATTTGTTCACGTTATTATTTTTGGTTTTCACCCCTTTGACGCCGAATTACCTCACGCAACCACTGTCACTGTGCTAACTAAAATGAATCACTTTTAGATTTAATAAGAAACTGATAATGAACGTAACAAAAGAATAAAAGTATTAAAGTTATATGACACGCAGTTTTACGGCGGCCCTTATTCAGTTAACTCAGTAACAATACTAATGTTTTTCCATAAAATAGTTTAAGAACACTAACCGTACTAACAAATTTATACCTAATTTTTTAATTTCTACAATTTTTGCCATTATCAGTATATTAAATGATTATTTCACATTTTGTTATTTTTTTTTACACGTGGTAATTGTAAAAACTTTTGTATTATGTTATAAGGAAAATAAAGCTATCTTTATCTTTATCTTTTATTTCACGCAGTTGATATGAAATCGAATCGTCATTGCTCAAAGTGCAATGAACAGGTTGCGACACGATCGAGTAATAACGCGTCAGTCGTCAGTCGTCACGTAGTTTGTATAGTTCCTTTCAAATATCTTGGCGGCGCAAGGACATCGGCGCTTCGCGCCGCGCAATACCCTCCCCTCGCGTCTCCCTTTGCTCCGCTACATCTAAAATTATGTACCGCTAAGCGACTCAGGCGCGTTTCAGAGCCGTCAAGATATCTGAAAACTACTCTACAATATGTAATGACTTTATTCAAATTACACGAATAGGAATTTAACATTTTTGAGCGCTTTATAGGGAAAATACATCAACTAAAACATTTCTTTCAATTACAAGTTATAGGTATACACAATTAGTAAGATTGAATACCAAATAAAATACAATGCATCAAATTGTAATTTGTTAGGTGAAACTTTACAAACTTAAAGGTAAAGTAAATTTCTAACATCGTTTAGATATTCTATTTATGAAGTATAGATGCCAAGCAATCTACTTAATTCTCTGCCGAAACAACAAGGGCAAGCCGCCTACGATAGACTGGACCACGTTCGATGTTGGGTTTACCACGGGGTATCGTTTGGTTTCCGGCGCGGGTTCTACCGAGTAGCGCGAGAGCACTGCCGCTAGACCCGCCAAAGACTGCATCTTACCCAGACGTTCACCTGGAACAATAAAGATGATTTTATAGATCTCTGGTACTCCTTCCAATGGTCTTACTTCTGCATTTAAGTATATTGTGCTTAAACAACTCAACACCTTGATTATTTATAACTATGTAGATCGGTATGCACGTAATTTTTTGTTCCGTATCATTTTTAGTTGATGTTCTCGACAGATATATCTAAAAAATATCAAGAAGCAAGATTTATATCTAACTTACCAATGCATGCTCGAGGACCTTCACCGAAAGGCAAATATATGTGCTTCGTCATTGGATTGATGAAGTCAGTTAGAAAGCGTTCAGGTTTAAACTCTTCGGGGTCCTCAAAGTATTGAGGATCTTTGTGCATAGCTTGCACAGGAATCAGTATCGAGACCCCCTCGTCTATTGTTAGGTCCATGTCTGGGAATTTGTATTTATGAGCGCATTTCCTCACTAAGTGACCCAGCGAAGGATACATCCTCATACCTTCTTTAAAAGCGCATTCTAGATAGTTCATTTCATAGACTGCATCATAGCTTAGTTTATTATTATACTTCGCTAAAACTCTATCGATTTCTTCTTGGACTTTAATCTGTTCTTTCGGATGATATGCCAGTTGATGTAAGGTGAAGCTTGTGGACGAGGAGGAGGTTTCGAAACCCGCAGCGAAAAATACAAATACTTGTGCAACCATAAGAACATCAGTCAGCTCTATGGACACTTCTTCCGGTGTGCCATCAGGTTTGGTTTTTTCAATAGATTGTCCGGTCATATCTCCCTTTTTTCTACATTCAAGGAGAAGATCCACAAAGTCGTTTCTACCGCATGGTTCATAATTTCTTTCTTGAAATATACTTTTTACAAAAGCAATAACATCGCTTTCCATCTTACGCATTATCTTTAAATGCTTGAATGTTTCAGGAAACATCTCCTTCAGCATTTGCGTTATAACCTGACTAACCTCAAAAGTAAAAGTTTGCACTCCGAGTTTTCTAAAATAAGAATCTTCTATACTAAGTGAGTCTGCATCAAGACCGAATCCGACCGCTCCGATGAAGTCAGTGGTATATCGCGCCATCAAGTCCCGAGCATCCAGCACTCGGCCTGTAGGCGGGGCGTTGATTGCGTGGTTCTGCATGCGCTCCGCTCGTTCCACTACCAGGGGGAACATCGCTTTAAGTTTTCCGCTAGTGAATGCCGGCGTGAGGCGTTGTCGTAATAACTTCCAAACGTCGCCATCAGCAAAGAACAAATTCCTTGCTAACGGTTCTAGGACAGTTTTATGCGTGTTGATACCCCGCAGATGGAAATAGCTGAAATCTGTAATGAGAATGCGCTTCACTATTTCCGCATCCCTTATTACTAATTCTGGAACTGACGCTCTATAGAATCCTATGACTTTCTCCTTCGGATACTTCCAGTAAAGTTCAACAGCTATTTGTGTCATGCTCTTCGTTCTGGTATACATGCGATAATTGTTGCCGAAAAATGGTATAGGTTTATCATGTTTGATTCCTCTCTTCTCCCAATATCTGAATGTTCTCGTACCGTACAGGTAGAGGGCGACGAGCACCAGTAGTGTTAGAGCTACTGCTAACATGGTTCAGTACCATATACAAATTACCAATTAATCATAAAACCGTAAATTTATATGTAAAATAAAGAGCGATAAGATAATTACGATAAAATTTTAGATTTCTCTATAACAATTTGTTTTTGTCGTCAATACTTTTAACCTTTGGCTTTATTTGTAACTGATATAAGCACAAGTTATGTTTGTCAACAACATCTCTGTTTTCTATTTTAATTTAACATGTACAGTCAGCTGCAAAAATATGCATTGTTTTACAAACCTTCAAAAACTCTGTTAGGATTTCGGTTTCAAAACAATGGAAGCACTAGTCCGTCCATATCATATAGTTTCGTCTGGGAATACATGTTATTGGCGAAAATGTGCATCCGTATTTTAGAAACCAAATGCTTACAAATGTTTTGTAGACGAAGACATAATTGTGTAGTTGACTGTCCATGTTTAAACTCAGTATATTTTCATACCATTTAAGTCGTGAGTTGTATAAATCTGGACGATTTAAGTCCATCTCGGCAGGCCGTGACCAACATGCCTCTGATTTTCGCGCCATAAATTTTCTTTTGTCTTTGTTATTTTCTTTTCTTCACCTTTCAACAAGTCCAAACTTAATTTTTTAAAACACCTTTCAACAACTCCAAATTTAATCCCATCAGGTGGTATCCAAAGCACATTTTAAAATAGAGAATAAGCAATAATAACAATACGATGACGTCAAAAGAATTTTATCAGGCAAATACGTCAGGAGAAGTAAAACAAGTTCAAGATTAAATGGCGTTTGTTCACTAATGATGAAAAGGTACAAACATTTTCAAAATTTTTGGCGGCTGACCTTGATCTGCACTGAGCAGGGCGTCACCGCGCATTTCGTTACGCCCCTGTACAGCTAAAACTATGTTTTGAGCAGTGACTAGTGCGTGCGTTCGAGCAGCCAACATTTTTGAAAACATACAGACCAATTGAGTACCTCCTTATTTTGGGAAGTCGGTCAAAAATACAATACATGAATGACAGAAAATAAGCCTCGGAGAGTCTGTCCGATTTTCTATATTTATGTGTTCATCATCATCATCATTGTCAGCCATAGGCCATCCACTGCTGAACGTAGGCCTCCCCCATTGATTGCCACGATGCCCGGTCCTGTGCCGCCCGCATCCAGTGCACTCCCGCAACCTTGACCAGGTCATCGGTTCATCTTGTGGGAGGCCTGCCTACGCTGCGACGACCTATCCTTGGCCGCCACTCGAGGACTCTTCGGCCCCATCGGCCGTCCGTTCTGCGGACAATATGGCCAGCCCATCGCCACTTAAGGTTTGCAATTCTTCGGGCAATGTCCGTTACTTTGGTTCTGCTGTGTATCGCATCGTTCCTGACGCGATCTCGCAGAGAGACTCCGAGCATTGCCCGCTCCATTGCCCTTTGAGTGACTTTGAGCCGCCTGATGTTGCCCGCAGTGAGTGGCCACGTCTCTGTCCCTTCCCGTTGTTGTGTTACATAAACGTATTTTACATATAAAAATAAATCATGTAAATAATGTAACATCTTTATCTATACTCTAATCTAAGATAATTGAAAATTAATAGTGAATAAGATAACTCACAATGATATTGTATAAAACTTGCTTATAATTATGATATTATTATGAACAAGTAAAAAATGACTCATGTAAGTCTTGTCGCTTAGATTTGCTTTTAGGAAAGAAAGTTTTTAATTCAGATCTACGAGATGTGTATATTAAAGCTATAGTTTGTCTAAATAATTAAACTAAAATTATTATTTTCTTAGTAACTAATTTAGAGGACAATTCTAGTGTTGATTATAGTGTAGAGAATTTAGCGATGACAGAAATATTAGCGAAATCCAATTCGATTACGTACGGCTGTAATAGTAATAAACATATACTTACTCTCATTATTTGCAATGGTTCTGCAGGGCATTATTAATTTGAGAAAACTGTGTTTTTTTAATTTCATAACTTATAACTATGAATCTATCGATTTCAACTTCTATAAGAATAAAAATCGAAAATCGGTAAGATTGATGACTGATTTTACACAACCCATCCCTGCTAAATTTCAAATGAATTGTCAAATCTTACTTCTTACTTAATATTATAAATGCGAAAGTTTAGATGGATGGATGGACGGATGTTTATGAGCGTTTGTAGCCTAAACGGCTGAACGAATCTCCATGAAATTTGGCACAGGTTTAGAGCATAGTCTGGAAGAACACATAGGCTACTTTTTATCCCGGGAATAGTTACGGTTCCCCTGGGATTCATTAATTTAGTTATTTAATGTTTACTCGATCATTCTGCAACGGTTCAACATATCTTATTGAAATTTGGCACAGATATAAAACAAAGTCTGGAGTACACATGGATTAAGCTTCATCTCCTAGAAATGTCCGGTTCCCGAGGGATACGTAGCTTTTTGTAATTCATATAGTTCGTATGTTTTCTAATACAACGCGGACGAAGTCGCGGGCAACAGCTCGTTAATCTATATTATTTAGACAAACTATAACAGTAATTAATTCCCTAGTTACAACACAGTATGTTATTTAAGTACAACATTACCCGAAAAGCTAAACATTGATTATTGATAGCGTGATTTGTTAAAGTAATCTATATCTATACTATTTATACTAATATTATAAAGAGGAAAGATTTGTATTTTTGTATTTATTGAAATAACTCAAAAACTGCTGGGCCGATTTTAAAAGGTAAGGTAATTTATCTGAAAGTATCATAGGCTATATTTTATTATTACTAATGTTTAGGAACTATTAATAAACAGCGTGTTTCTGGACGTCGGCGCTAAAAATTCACTAAACTTTAACTTATCTCGGCTTACGCTGCCTAAACCGTTAGAGGTATAATAATGATGTAAGAAAGAATTTTAGATCTCAAAAGTTTTACAGAAAAGTCCACGATAGCATATATCTATCTAAACGGTTTTCTTAAAATAACCACTTTTTTTGTTTACAAAATGAATTAAAAACCGCACGCTAATGCGGCGTTTTTATTGGTTTCAATATTAATCATTATCCAAATAAATGCATTTGTTATCAGGAGGATTTAATGTAGAATAAAATTGTCCTTTACAGTATTTAAATATTTAAGGCTTAGCGCCTATTCCCAATTAGCGGCAATGTGTGATAAATATTAAGGAACGTTTATTTGCTATTCTACCACATAACGCCTATAATTACATTTATGTATGCACGTTTATGATTGGCAACCTTCCTTATGAGTTTTAAATTAAAAGTAATACCTAAACTAATCCAGTTTTTACTATTTTACTCGTACTTCAATCAGTAATCAAGAAAAACAGAGAAAGTTCTAATGATCAAAAATGTCAACAAATTAAGTTGCCACCACAATAGAAATGTATTTATTTATATTTTAATTGTCATTGAATCGAGTCATTGTGTTTCATCATTGATTGTTAAAATATTGTGTTTTGGACGGAACACCAAGGGAATGCCACCGATGACGGACTGCACTACATCCGATGTGGGATCTACTGTGGGGTAGCGCGGAGCAACCGGCGAAGGATCAACCGAGTACCGCGAGAGCACCGCCGCTAGACCCGCTAGAGACTGCATCAGACAGAGTCTCTCACCTGCAAATACATTTAAAATATTCATCTCTATTTTATTGTACATTGTACTGTATCAGATTGTTGTAAATAATTTCATTGAAGCGAAATTATCTGTGTTTAATAATCATAAAATTTAGAGCGGATTTACTGATATCCGGTCATTATCTGATTATTTAAATATATAAGTCTCAATGTAAATCAAAAAAAATGTAAAACCTATAATTCCGGACTTTAAACTCTGCAAGTACTTACCCTACACGCTAACTAAAAGTTAAAAACTATGATGATGGTAATAAGGTGATGGCCAAGGTGGAGTCAGGAGTTAACATCAGCCCGGGCCAGGTCGTGGACATTGGACGCGATCCGCCCGAGACTCCTGGATTGGGTGGGCAGGCGGTGGGGACACTATTCCTACCGGCTGGTGCAGATTCTGACCGGTAACGACTGTTTCGGCAACTATCTGCACTAAATAGTCGGTAGGGAACCAACACCTAGGTGTCACCACTGTCCTGCAGCGTTCGACTCTGACGGACACACTATTTTTGACTGCCCGGCATGGGAAGCCGAGAGGTGACCCATCGCCGCCATTATCGGAGTTGACACGTCCTGATTCTCCGAAGTGATTAACAAAATCCTAGGAAGTGAGGACGCCTGGAGGGCCTTCCAGGACTTTTTTGAGATGGTCCTCTAAAGCAAGGAGAATGCCGAGAGGAAACAGGAAGACGAGCAAGAGTCGTCCCCTTTCCGGCGAAGGAGAACAGGTCGGCGCCGGCGCACTTTCTTACGTCAGGCGTAGACCTTTGTTCATATTTACATATTTTAATCTTTATCTATACTAAAATAAAGGGAAAAGATTTGTATTTATGTATTTTTGTATGTATTGAAATAACTCAAAAACTACTGGGCCGATTTTAACAATTCTTTCATTTTCAAATTTCACACGGACGAAGTCGCAGGCAAAAGCTAGTTATAAATATTTTTATGGTAGATAAGCTTAGTTTAGTTATAGTATTTGTAAATATCTATTTATAAATACCTAGACTAAGTTCTATATAGCTATAGCTTTAGTTGTAGTTGTACATACATGTAGAGTCGCGCTATGCGTCACCGCAGGTCGGAAGCTCGGTTATGGCTACGCTGGTACGAGCTTCCGACCAATGCGATGAGGAGGACCCGAGAGTTTTTA